CTCTCGAGATGTGCTATAAGAATATGCAATGAAAAATGGGGTGTTCCATTTAAAAAAATTAATGTGACCTTGACCTGACCTTCGCTACGCAACCCAAGGTCAAACTGATGTGATCAGTAAATACATCTTTTTAAACGCCACAACTTTTGTCTGAAACATTTTTTTGTAAAACTTATATTTTTCCTGATATTCGGGCGTCCCGGTACTTTCCGAACACCCTGTATATACAGGGTGTAACAAAAGTATCAGTACCCCTAAATAAATTTCCAGGATCTCATTTTCCGAGAAAATTATTCAGACAAAAGTTGCATAGTTTTGACCTAGCGATTCGATAGTGACCTTGTTTTTAACCTCGAGGTCATTTTTCGAGGTCATTTCAAGGTTAACTTTTTTTTTAATGGAAACCTCCATTTTTTATTCCAGAATCGGAAAGAGCGGGAAAATTTACATTCAGATATATATTTAACCCATGGGTCCAAGGGACCCCTCAATGTCATTTCAAGCTCACATTATTTGAGCATAGTAATGAATCACGAGGCAGGTGGCTTGGTGAGAGACGTTTTAGACAAAAGATTTAAGGTTTTGACCAAGCAATTAGATGGTGACCTTGTCTATGACCTCGAGGTCATTTTTCGAGATCATTTCAAGGTCAACTTTTTTTTTTAATATTCAATAGAGATTTTGGTAAACGATATAAAAATTGTTTTATTAACGAATAATGTAACAAAAAATATTTTATTATAGTGTTTTGGAGAGCTCTCGAGATAAGCTGTAAGAATATGTAATAATATATGGGCTATTCCATTAAAAAAAATCGTGATAACTTCGAAATCTCAAAAATTATGACCTCGAGACAAATTTTTCGCTCGTCATAGTATGTGTCCCTTCCAATCGAACAAAGTTTTCCCTGTAGTATTTTCCTGTATCATCAAAAACAACGGAGATATTTTAAATGGTCGAGTTAGAGGAAACACCCTATATATATATATATATATATATATATATATATATATATATATATATATATATATATATATATAT